CAGTAACACACTCCAGAGCAAGAGTACATCTCTTTCACAAGTGGGTGCAAGTTTCTAGGTTCACAGTTGAATTAATACAGTTATACAATATTGAACTCAGTATAAGCCCTGTAAAACATAAAATCGAGTGAGTTTTTAACCTTTAAAAAAGATCTCCATTTCATTTTAGAATATATTGTTCCTTGCAGAAAGACTCATTATTTTTGATAAATAAAATATTTTAAAAAGCTAGGCTTCGTGGCGTGTGCTTGTAATCCCAGTGCTGGGGAGGCAGGGCTAGGTAGATTCTGGGGCTTGCTGGCTGGGTTCAGAAAACTGACTGACACTATCTCAAAAAACAGAAAACAGAATAGAACAAAACCCAATACCACAGCTGAGGAATGGTGGAAGTTGTTTACTGACCTCCATATGCAGTTGTACACACATGTACATGGACATACACAAGTAGCTGCAAATTGATCTGTAAGCCAAACAAAATTTGAATAAGTATAAAAGTGGATAGCTAATAAATTAACTTACTAAAAGACCATTCTTAGATGAGTGCCATCTTTACTACTTAAATTGGCTTAGCTCTGTGAAGCTGAGTGATGAAGCTGACAGAAGTGGGCTTTAGGAACCAACTGACCTGAGTTTAAATGCCTGTTATTGGCAAGTTAATAATCTTACCAGGGGAAAAAATATCTTACCGGAGTCTAAGTGTCTGGTAAAATAATCTCACATTCATCCATAGGGTCTTAGGATAATTATTCAGTCTTATGCCCCCCTTAGCCTACAGTGAGTGCCCAGTAAGACTTATGTCAGCACACCCTTTTCAGAGTAGCCGGTACCAATAAAGACTTTTATTAGCTAGGTTAATAAAGACTAGGTGTATATCTAGATCAGACCAAGCATTTTCAAAATGTGGTATTGTTCTAGAGCAAGCAGTACTTGAAATTACCGTATGGCCTCTCTGCTTGTTTCTATGTTGAAAGAACAGAAAGAAAAGCTGTAGAAGATGTTTAGTTTTTAAATGGAGTAACATTTAGGAGATAAATATTAATGAAGTGTATAAGCTTAAAAAAGAACTGGGGTCAGGCACACTGGTGAATCTCAACCTTGCTGTTCACTAGCATTGTGACCTCTGTTGGTTTTTCCTGTGTATATCATGTGAGCACCAAATGAGGGAACATAGGTTAAAGCACCCAGTATGAGATTAACAGCTAGTAAGTGACAACTTTTCATAATATAGTAAGAAAACAAGATACAGAAGCAATCCAGTTTAGTCAGGATATGGATCATGGGCATTCCTTGAGCCAGCCTGGCAAGCCAGTTTGACATTGACTCTCTCTATTCAGGTGGGCGCCATGTCCTTGAAGATTCAGACGAGCAATGTAACCAACAAGAATGACCCCAAGTCCATCAACTCTCGGGTCTTCATCGGAAACCTAAACACAGCTGTGGTGAAGAAGTCAGATGTAGAGACCATCTTCTCCAAGTATGGCCGTGTGGCCGGCTGCTCTGTGCACAAGGGCTATGCCTTTGTCCAGTATGCCAATGAGCGCCATGCCCGGGCAGCTGTGCTGGGAGAGAATGGGCGGGTGCTAGCTGGACAGACGCTGGGTAAGTTAACCCTTTCTCCGTAGGTTCTGCTAATGTCCTCCAGAGCCACTGTCCTTCCCTCACTAGTCTCTCACTAGTTTTCTCACCCCCATTATCATTTCTACCACCTAGCACTTAGATACTTTCATGCTTTTAAGTTTATTAAATCAGTGCCTATAGGGGAGTTATAGAAGTTTCTTTTGTCCTGTCTTTGCCTTTCTCAGTGCCTCTCTTTTCAAATCTCTGTGTATGTACTTAATTGTATTTATTTATTTTAATATTTATTATTTTTATTTTATGTGTATGAGTGTATTATCTGCATGTATGTGAGTGTACCCGTGTCGTGCAATGCCGCAGACGTCAGAAGAGGGCTTCGGATTCCCCTGAAACTGGAGTTAAGGACCGTTCATAGCTACCGTGTGGGTGCTGGGAATCGAACTCCGGTCCTCTGCAAGAGCAGTCAGTGCTCTTAACTGCTGAGCCATCTCTCAAGCCCCTAATTGTATGTATTTTAGAAGGGATATCTATGTGTTTGTGAATATGATGTACACAGATGTGATTGAATGTGCAGAGAACGTGTGAACCATTCCTTTGCATGTGTAAGTATAGTGTGTGGGAGAATGTGCTTGGGCTTGGAAGAAGATGAGCTTATATTCATTTTCCAAATATTTGTGAATCTTACAAGCTAAATACTAGTCTAGACATAGAGGTGTTCAGTAAACTATCCATGAGACATTGGCTTCTTTGCCTATAGGCAGTCTACGTGTATTGAGT